ACGATACTATGATAGATGCAGAATAAAACCTATCGTCAGCCTAGATCGCATAAGGCGATATAAGAATAAGGGTTGCATTTTCTCATAATGACATGAGTAGACCTCAGGATTCAATTGAAGTCAATTTTGCTCCATTGTTTGGAATCATGCTACTAATTCGGAGTAAACCCTTGGGTCTAATATTTTCTCGCCATTGATGCTATTTTAATATATTTATCTCGTCTTGAGCCAAGCTGGACGATTAAGGCAGTTTACTTTCGGTAATAATATTCAAAGAAGGCCAAATGTGGTATTGTGAAATCGAGCAAAAATGTACTATTAAGAGCAGATGTTTCTATTCTATTGGAAAGCTCTAATCCCAGGCGCATTGCCATTAAGGGTATCTGATAGCTCTCTGAGTGATTAGGAAAGATAGAATTTGAGCTAAGAACTGGTTCGTTAGAGCAGCTTAAACGCAACTCTATGGCCAGTACAGAAAGTGGAAACATGGTGCATGCAGTTTGCAGAGATCCAGATGCGCTAGCATTTTACCTAACAATGAAACTGTTACTCACAAGAAGCAAATTGGCTCCACAGTCCTCGTACTGGTATTAGATGATGATGGGTTGGCACAACAATTATGTTATTCAAATGATATCGTGCCTGTTCTTTCCAACATAATTCGGGAGCATTGTTGAAATTTAAAAGTGTCAAAATTATACATTTCTATTTTAAATATTAGACATGCTTTCCTTTTGTCGAAGTACGGTTAAAGCAGGATTTTAACTTATCATCTGACTTTATTTGTCCGGACAAAGCTAAGCTTGACTCCTTGAGCTTCCCCACCAACCGAGAACAAGGTGTGAGAGAGCAGAGGTCAGAATCTTCAAAATGACGTGCACAAGGAGAACCACCAGAAATAAGGATCAAGATACCTGAGCACTAGAAGAGAATAAAAAACTGACAATAGAAGAGTGCCGGCTAGTTGACAAGTAACGAGAAGTTGAGATCATCATTGATACGATAGTAAAGGTCCCACAACTGAGGGGCTACTTATGAAGGAGAAATCGACAAATGCAAAGTGAATGCAGTTGCCGAGACGGATGCAAACTTGGATAGGGCAAATGGAATGCCATGACTAGAAAGAAAACGTCAATAAAGTGGAACAACGGAGAGGCAAGGAAGCACAAACTGGCGAGATTTATCGGCAGAAAAGTTGTAGGTGTGATTCTTCGGTGCTGGCGGTAGCGTCTGGAGGTAGAGTTCCCGCGGTCAAATGTTGCGGATGTAGTGGAAAGGCCACTTGAAATGCTGTCCGGGAGCAATTCCAACAAGGCCTCAAAGTGTAGGCGAAAGGCAGAGCAAAGAAGCAGGTCGCACTGGCCCCTGACAAGTCTACTTGTCTCGGCAAAAGTAGGCCGAATAAGCAAAATAGAAGATTTGTTGAGAACCCTTTTGGCCAATGCTTTAGCAACATTCGAGGAGAAATATTCTAAATCCGAATCACCTTCGAAACCGGCAGTGATGCTCCAGCAAGGCCCGATCTCGACCGACAAAGAAACGTCCATGCGAACTGTCAACGGGCTCTTCAGGTTCAACCAATTTCGGCCAAATTTTTTGGTTCGGCCTCCACCTTGGAGCTTGGTCGTAGTGTCAAGGCATCATCAATCAGAAGCATCATGCATAGCATCGAGCTACAACTCTTCAGAGTGA